GGTTTAGCCTGTGACCCCGGAAGAACATCCACTGATTACCCCAGAGCGGCTGCACTGGGGTTGTGAGTCTGCCTGGGACATGCTGACCTCAGAACTGACCCTTGAACTGTGATACAGGGATCAGGTACCACTGTCATGCTGCGTGCTGGGAGTATGCTGTGAAGTCTCTGTCCAGAATTTGCCCGGACCCCACTACAGGTCAGCATGAAGGTTCAACTCTGTCAAAGACAGTAGACCTGCAGGGAGGCCACCCCCTGCTTCAGGGCTATTTCTGCTGATAATTCAGTGAGTTGGAGAGTGTCCAGTGTGCCGTGGGCACAGGTGCATGGTCTCCAGTGTCCTCTGCCACCCAGTGTCCTGTGGTCTGTGGTCATCCAGTGTCCCAGGATCTCTCTTTGCCCCACTTCCATTCAATGTCCTGTGGTTGCTCAGTACCCCTGTCACCCACACATGTCACATTCTATGGTCTCGAGTCTGAGCAAAGCAAAGCTCTATTATCTGGCGTGTGTGATCAGGGGTGCCCCCATGAGGGGTGCTATGGTCAGGGCAGGAGTAGTTTCTGGTTACATCCGGGAAACCTTGTCCTATTCTGACTGAAGTACACCGACTCCCATTGTGGGAGCTAGTGCCTTCCACTCATCCCTCAAGATTTACATTGGCCATGATCACCCTCAACTGGAGCAGTGCCTGCTGGGGATGCTGATACATTGTCTGCCTACACCTTCTTCTCCAGCTGGTCCTGGGATGCTTCCTCCTGTGGCCAATCTTCACCCCAGAAGGCCAGGGTGACCTTGTAAGGGGCCTTGCTGTTCTGCCCCCTCTGAGGGATGTCTTGCAGAGCAGAACAGTGGCTCTCAAGCCGAGGTTTGTGTGTCTGAAGGAAATGGGCTGGGCCTCAGGCTATTTCTCTCATCTTCTGGTGCATGGGCACTGCACACAGCCTAACCTCTGTATACGTGTGTCAGATGCACACAGCACTACACACACCATCACACATCTTCTGAGAACCTGCTCTTTACACCCTCCAACCAGGTACCCAGGGATGGTTCTGGAAGGGTGGTGCTGGGTCAAACTATAAACAAAAGCACCCCCCTGGGGCTGACTGCCCTCCTCCCCATGGCCATTGCTTCACTTCCAAGGAGACACAGTGGCAAATACACAACTGTGATTCATTGCAGATCTTCTCTGGATACCCAGTACTCTTAAATAGTAACCGTCTCTGATACCCTGGCCTCAGAATCCTAAGCCCTTTCAACAGGGCCTCACTGCCAGCCGGGTTCCTAGGTCCCACCAACCATAGGCATCTGGGGCACACTTTGGGAGCCAGTGCTGGACCTAACACTAGGCACCCTTCGGAGCTCCACTGATGGTCCTCCAAGGGGCAGTTCCCCACGCCAGCATGGTGGTGGCACCCAGCTCCTTCTCAGCACTCCATGTCTCCTTGGTGTGTGGATTTAGAGAGCGTTTGCTGTCTCTCATCTTGGGTTCCACGGCTTTCCTCCTTTTGTACAGCTGCCCAGGGGTCTTTATCTTTGACTTTGCTCTGTGGGTCTAAGGAGGGTGCTCCTTCTCAACACATGACAAATATTTCCTACACTGTCAACTGCCTTTTAGTTTTTGTATGATATTACTTTCCTTTCTTATTCTTTATTTTGTTTTTGTTTATGTGAGGCAGGGTCTTGCTATGTAGTCTAGGACAATCTTGAACTCACTAGGAAGCCCTAGGCTGACCTCAAATTCACAGCAATCCTCTTGCTTCAGCCTCCTGAGTGCTGGGATTACTTTTCGTATGTGTTTTTAAAATATTTTTATATAGCCATTTATGAATCTTTCTTAGTCTGGGTTTTGTATCTTGTTTATCTTTTTCTTTTAAATTTTTATAGCTCTATTAAATATACTTCAGATGTTGTGCAGCTCATCCATTTAAAGAGTATAATTTGGCACTTTTAGTGCATTCACAGATACATGGAAACATCTCCAGTTAGGGTAGTATATTTTCATCATCTCAGAGAGAATCCCAGTGCCCTTTACCCACTACCCCTGTCCTTCCAATCCTGTGCTACTGTGAAATATATATTTGGTCTTCATCCCAGTTTCTTGGCTCACAGCTCTTAAAATTCTTGGAATTGAGCTGGGTGTGGTGACACATATCTGTAATCCCAGCACTCTGGGAAGCTGAAGCAGAAGAATCAGAAATTTAAGCCCAGCACAGGCAACACAGCAATTTAGAGAGAACCTGTCTCAAAATCAAAAATACAAATGGTCTTGGGATGTCACGCAGGCCCTAGATTCGATCTCCAATATTGGAAAAACAAAAATGAAAACAAAATAAAACTCTTCTTGGAATCTCTAAAGTAACATAAGTGTTTTTTGCAAACTAAGGACTTTTGAGAGATCACTGCATGGTGGGGGGGCTTTCAGCTTGCACCCTAGCCTCCTCCAGGGAGGGATGAGGAACCGAAGATTGACTTGATCATCAGTGACTAATGTGTGATCAATCATGCCCACATAAAAAAACCTCCATAAAATCCCAAAAGAACAGGCCTGAAGGAGCTGTGTTCCAGTGGTGGGATGGAGGGGTTTCCTGGCAAGTTGTATGCCCACAGAGGTCACAAGAGTGCCATATTCCTTCCCACACATCTCATCTCTGCATCTTGCCCACTGATGGCCATTGGTACCCTTTGTCATTTCCCAGAGGATAAGTAAGAAACATAAGTAAAGCACATCCTGAGTTCTGCAAGCTACTCCACCTAAGTAAAGGCCAGGATGGGTCAGAGAGAAGCATGGGCCACATTAGGGGCTGGGCCTGGCATCCGAGTGGGGCTATTTGTGGGTCTCACACCTTCTCCAGGTGAGCAATGGAAGAATTAGAGGAGACCCAGCTGGTGTCTGCTGCAGGATTGCTTGGCTTGTGTGAAAGTTGATCCCAAGAGGAAATGATTCTTGTCAGACCTGGGCAAAGATAGAGTCTGGAAGTAATGAGAGAAGGGCCACCTGTGTGTCTGAGGTAGTCACTATGTCATAGACTTCCCAAGAGCCCCTAAAGAGATTCCTTGTTCTACACACACCCCATGCTTTGCACACCTAGCACACATATGCACAGATTTCTGTAACAAAGTTTATCTTCCACATTTCCCAAGACTGAAACAATTCAGACAACTTACTCTGGACAGGAAGGTATCTGTACCACGGACCTGACACCAGGTCCTGCCTCACCAGTGTCTGGAAGACCAAGAACTGTTGTCTAAGCCACTGGCACAAATGTATCTGTGTATCTATGTTGCCTGTTATCCATGTAGCCTCAGCATCTATGAATATGCCTGTGGTTTACTATGGAACACACATTCCCATTATGATACTCTGTTACTCTCAAATAAATGTCACTACTCTTTGGAGGATATCTCTCTATGACTTAGATGAAGAAGAGGAACTCCACCCATGTTTTGGTGTTTGACTTCAGAGGTGAAACACAGCACTGAGTGGTGTGAGCAGGAACTGCATTCCATTTTCCCCATCTCTTGGGAATTTCCCCAACAATCCTGGGAAGCCTCTAATATATTTCCAGGTTAACTGGATTTCCTCACTCTGCTGTTTCACATCAGCAGGATCATAGGATACGTGCTCTTTTGTGTCTGGCTTCTTTCAGTTGGCAAGATATTTTCAAGTGTCACCCATGTTGTGGAGCATGTTAGTACCTCATTTCTTCACACAGTTGAATAACACCCTGTTGTCTGGTTAGATCACATTTTGTCTGTGCTTTCATCCATTCGTGGACATCTGGTTTTTTCCACCTTTTGGCTGCTGTGAATATCATTGCTATGAGCATTTGTGAACGAGTTTCAGTGCGGGCAAGTTTCTACTTTTCTTGGGCGTATATGCCTAGGGGCACTATTGCTGGGTCATATGGCAACTCTGGGTTTAATGGGCTGAATAAGCCACTAATTGTTTATGAGACTAGAAAAGCAAGTTTGAGGAATGAGTCTTATTTTTCTCTTCTGATTGTCTAGCATTGAACAATGTCTTTCTTTTTACATTTAGATCTTTGATTGCCCAAAATGTCTTGTGGCTTAGTGAGAGAGGTCAGAACAGGATGGCCAGATACACTGGCCAGTGTGGTTACTGTCCTGAGTGCCACCAGTAGCATGTCTACACTCTTCTGCATCTCCCATGTGTCCAGCTGTCTCTCTCACTGTCTGTCTACGATGACATTGTTCATTGCTTCGCTCACTGCTTGAGGCACCCGCCTCTTATAGGCAGTGGATTTTTCTTATTTATTTTCACATGAACTTGGCCCAGGAAGGACCAGAAAGCCCCTGGAGGAGCCTGTGTGCTGCAGTTGCTGATATGTCTCAATATCTTCAAAACCAGGAGCCAGAAACAGCCCGGAGCCTGGCTGGGAACCAGTGGGTAATACTTCCACAAACATCAGCTCGCAAAACTCCCATGATCACCCTGAGATGAATGAGCACAGCTGTCATGGCAACTCTGTCATCTGCCTTACAGCGCACTGTCCAGCACTAGACCTGTGGCTGGCACAGCGACTGCAAGAGCTGGAGGCAGCATCCGTGCCCACAGCGGGCACACACGGTATGGGAGGATGGGGCAGGCTCCCTGGAAAGCGGGTGAAGGGAACAGGGCAAACACACAGGAGGGGTTGGCACTGAAGGAGGGGCAGGGAGGTGGCAGGCAGTTTTCCCACCAGCCTACCAAGGTGGGTGACAGAGAGGGGCACGCCAGGCTCCAACCCTCCCTCTTCAGCTCCTGGCCCTCCTCTCCTTGGCCAGTTTGGGCTGAAGATCCCGAGCCCATGTGTGGCCCCCATGTCTTTCAGGCCTTGTGCCTGGCTAGGGGCTGGAAGGGCTGGTAGAGGCTAAAGGTGGGTTGGGAGGGGCTGTTTGGGACAGATTGGGGTGAGGAAGCCACAGTGGAAAGAAGTAGTAAGAGACAAAGTGTTGCAACTGGCTGTCCTGTGGCACTCTACTCTCACCGGAAAGCTCATGTCGTGTGATTTGGTTACATTTTATTGGGGGAAGGGTTGTCAGGAGTGGGAAAATGTCACACAGGGAGGGCTTTCAGCTTACACGGAAGTGGATTTGGGCAAGACTTCATGGAGGACTTCGCAAGGAAGACAGGGCTTGGAGTGAAGTGAGCCGGCCTGGCTGTGAGGGGCCTCAGGACGAGGTCTGGCTGGGGAAGAGGTGCTGTCAGGCTAGCTGGCAGTGGAGGAGGTGCTCAGTCATGGTTGCAGAGATTGGACTGGCAGCAGGCCACAGACACGTGGGGACCCAAGCCCAAGCTGGAGACATCGGGGCAGCCCCTGTCGCACATCTTGGTGACCAGTGGCAGGTCCTTAAAGCTGATAGGGGTCCCTTGGGGGTAGGAGAGAAACCACAGGTCTCCTTCGAGCTCTGAGCTACCCCAAACCCCTTGTCCCACCTGCCACTGAGCTGAAGACCACCCCCAGGAAATCAGGCACGTGGGTCACCAGGGGGTACTTGCTGGCGCTCACAGGGACACTGCCTAGAGTGGAGGGTGGTGCCCTACCCCTCCCCCCAAATGTCAGGCTGAGAAACAGAACACAGTTGCACAGGCCACCAGAGGGCACATGCCCGGGCCCTGATCTGGCCAGGTGTCCCTGCTCTGCTGCTGACCTGCTGGGCATCTGGACTGGGCCCCCCTCTGAGCCCAGGTCTCCCAACTGGAGCAAGAATGGTATGGCCAGTCTACATGTCCACCGCACTCACGTGTAGCAATGATGATGCAGTGGGTGGAGCTCCCTGGGCAGTTGAACACGTGGGAACATCCTCCAAAGCCTTTGCACCGGTGGCACCGCAGGCCCTGGGCTGTAGCTGCAGGTGGGATGGACAATGGCGCAGAGGAAGCAGGTGGCAATTCCAGCAAGCCCAGCACCTCCTCTCTACCCAGCATCCCCTCGTGCTGTAGCCTCTACTCTGTGAGCCAGCTTCTCAGTCCCTCTAGACCTTGCTGTATGTGTTGGGGGAAGATATCCACCATGTACCAAGCCTCAGCTGAGGATCAGGCCAGACCCTGCTGCCACTGGGCACAACTGACCATGTTGGGGCTAGCTGAGCTGCTTCCCTTGCCCAGGATGCTATACGCTGGAAGGAGTAAGGTGAGATCTCCCCGGGGAGTGGAGGGGCTCAGCCTAGGCTTTGGGTGGAGCTTGGAAGGCAGAGGCTGGGGAGATGGTCATGCCTACTTCCACCTTTAGGTCCTACAGACCCACTGGACCTCCATTCTCAGGCTTAGATGAAGGGGCCTTTCCCTCCTTCACAGAAACCAGGGCCAGGATGACCAAAAGGAGTGCAGGATGCAGGATGAATTCTATTTGTCTTTTTCCTGGCAAACAAATGTCTTTATCCCCAGCCCTCTCCTCTGCCTTAGTGCCCCATCGGGCCTCACCCTACTCTTCCCCGCCTACTCTGTTTTACACCGGCTCTCTCTGCTGCTCCTGACTCTCTCCTCCCGGTGCTCAGCCTCAACTCCTGTCCCAACTTCTCCTGTAGAGAAGAGTCCCTGTCCCCTCCCATCCTGGTGCTCTCAGGATGTGCTAGAACCTGCAGAGGACACAGATCCCACCTGTCCTCCTCAAGCTATACTAAAGAAACTGAGTCAGGTCCCTCCCAGTGTGCCAATGTGTAAAATCCTGTTTAGGGGGACTGAGCTTCTCCCAGTTGCTGAGGATCTCAGCAGCTCACTCCTACCACAGCCTCCAGCTGTAGAGGCCCTCATCAGCTCTGAAGCTATGTACTTTGCAGCAGGTGACAAGAAACCTTGACCATGGCAGGACTCCTGCCATGAGCCTTGATTGTCTGCCACTCTGCACAGGGAGCTGGGGCCTCATGCTCAGCGGCCACCAAGCCCAGGCACCTTGCCCCACCACAACTGCCAGGCCACCTTGGCTTGACAGGTTGGACATGTCGTTTTGGACACTGATGAGTGAGCACAGCAGACCTGGGGGCAGTGGCAGTGCAGGGCACAGGTAGGGCACCACAGAGAAGATGCTCCAGCCTCCCCCTACCTTCCTCTGGGCATCCTCCCAATGCCTCCTGGCTTTGCACTGGCTGTTCCTTCCAACCTCCTGGCAACACAAGCCCCAGCTCAAAGGCCACCTCCTCCAGGCAGGCCTCTGTTGTGTCATGGCAGAGATCACAGCCTCCTTTGACATACCTGGCTCTAGTCGCAGGATTCCTACCCTAGTGATCCTGTCATCCTGCCCAGGGCTCCCTCCCCACCCACACTCAACACTGAGACCTCTGAGTGGGTAGGGCTTGGGGTCCTTTCAAAACATCCATCAAACTAGAACCCTCCCCTGCACTAATGAGGCTCAGTAGAGGTTTGTGGAAGAAATGAAGGAGAGAATTCTAGGGTTGGGGGTGAAGGCAATGGCTGGGTTATCAAGAAAAGGACAGCTTTCTTCCTTATCCTGTGCACTTGCATTTTTATTGATGAGGTGGAGAAAATTTTAGCTCCCAGAAATCAGCAGGGGAGGGGAGCTGGATCAGCAGGACAGAGCACTGAGTGACCCTGCCACCCTGAACTGGGCTTTACAGCGGGGAGGACCAAGGGGTGGGCTCCGAGGGCAGCAGATAAGGGAGAGTCTTGCTGGCTGCGGGGCAGTGGGAGGGGCACACCCTGTGGTTTCACTTGGTGTAACGTAGCAACTCCCACAGGCTCCTGTGAGCTCTGGGAGATGGCATTACCCATGGATGGCAGGGCAGGCACCCAACTTTAGCATATGTCATGGGGCACTCCTGGGAGAGGCCACAGGCCCTGACCCCACCATCTTCCAACTGCAAGAGTCATGGCCAGGTGTGTCCCTGAGGCAGGTGAGATTTTCACAGAAGGAGGGGCTGAGGGCCTGCTCTTATGGGGAGCAATCTTTGGGTCAGAGATCTTCCTGGGGTACACTAGCCTCGGGGCAGATAGGGAGGAGGGAGGGCTGGTGATGGCAGAGCCTGTCCTGACAGGGACAAAGCCTTTCCTACTTTGAGCTCAGGGCCCAGAGGATCTCTGGCCCTCAAGGCAGAGCTGTTCCTCCCTGAAGACCCTCACTTCTCAAAGGACAGGGTCACCATGGGGTCTTTGGTAGAAGGGTTGTCCCTGGGCATGGAAACTCCTCAGTCTGCTCCAAGGATGCACACATGGGCCTTGTGCCCATCTCAGGTGGTCCCATGGACCCTGGCCCTCCCCACCCACAGAAGGGGAAACTGAGATTTTGCCAGGTGAGGCCTAAGCGATCTGGGGCTGACTGGGTGTGCAGAATGAGGAAGCTGGTCTTCCTTGGGAATCAGGGTCATGGTAGGGTGAAGTGGGGCTCTGTTGGGAGATGTCTAGGCCAGGCATGGGCAGCAGTATTTACGGGGTGCTCTCATGTAGACACCAGGGCCAAAGCGCCAAAGCCAGGACAGATGGGGCCAGCATATGGATGAGGACATAGTCACAGGATACTGAGAACAGGAGTGGATCCCACCCCCACCCCCACCCCCTGCCAAGGAAGGTGCAGGGGGCAGAAAAGAACCTGAGCAGGGAAGTAGGAGGGTGTTAGGAGAGGGTACCTGCCAGTGGCCGCCAGCTGGGACTTCTGCCTAAAGGGCTGGAAGAGAGCATTCAGAACAGCTGTGTGTGACAGCAGGTGTGTGCACATGCTCGTGTGCATGGGGGAGGGTCTGTGTGGAATTGGAGTGGCCCGGGGTTGGGCATGGGCCCAAGAAGTGAGAGGCCAGCATTAAGGCTGTGCTGGGATAGAGGGCTATGGAGTTCAGGGATGCAATGTTAGGAGAAAGGCTGTGAGCACCAGGAGCAGAGGCCAGGCTGGTGGGCAGGGAGGAGCTGGTGCCCAGCCCGGGGTGGGGATAGGAAAGGGGCTTCCCCAGGGCTATGGAGTTCAGGGATGCAATGTTAGGAGAAAGGCTGTGAGCACCAGGAGCAGAGGCCAGGCTGGTGGGCAGGGAGGAGCTGGTGCCCAGCCCGGGGTGGGGATAGGAAAGGGGCTTCCCCAGGGGTACAGTCACGGCCCTGGGCTGCTGGTGGCCTGGACTGGAGGGATGCGTGAGAGCTGTAGGGGTGGAGGAGCAGCCCAACCCCTGGACTCACCCAGCACCAGGCTCAAAACCATGGCCATCAGGAGTCCTCTGAGAAGCCGCATGTTGTCAGGGTGAAGACGAGGATGGTGCCCTGGCTTTTCCTTATACCCATGGCTGCTCCCACCCCCACCCTTCTGAGTCACCGGCAGCCTGGTTGGGCTAGGAGACGGGCCAGACTCAGGTCACCCTGGGGACCAACCTGGCCCAGGGATTGTGGCACTGTGCCCTCCAGGCCTTCTTCCCTTCCATGCAGAGATGTCCCAGTTGTCAGAACTAGGCTTCCCATGATGGGAGAGGCCTAGGGTGGTCCCCTCAGTGGCTGGGAGGAGCACAAGCAACCAGCCCAACCCTTGCCCTGCAAGGTGCAAATGAAACCTCCCATGTGTGGAAACCCAAAGCCTCCTTCAGCACCCACCCTAGAGGGAGTCAGGAGACCAGCCCTCCTCGGAAGAGGCTGGAACTTCTGTCTGTCAAATGGGCCTGCAGTCCCAGGGAAGCCAAGGAAGCTGGGTGCACGCTGCACATGGAGGAAGCATGGGGAGTGCTGTCCAAGCGAGGGACCATGCTGGTATGGTACCCAGGGGCCCAGAACCCATGAGCATTTGCCCAGTGGGGCAGGAGGGCCAGCAATGCTTTAGGGCTAAAGGGGGGGGGCCAAGAGGGGGTAAAAGCCAAGAGGAACACTGCCAAAACCCAGCAGGGCTGGGGCTGGTAAGAGGCTCAGAGAGTCAGTTTGCCACCCAGTGGACCCTCGTGCCCTCCCCTAATACCATGATGTTTGTCTAGTGGGCTCCCCAGGGAGCGGGAGATGGTGGACCAAAGGGAGGGAGATCCTGAGAGGCTTGCAGATTCAGACTCCTCTTCCTAGGAGGAGCTGAGAAAATGGGCTCAGGAACCTGAAAGCTAGAGGACAGGCTGGAGGTAGGGTTCTGAGGTCCTACTTTGTCCAACTCCTCTACTCCCAACCTTCCCCAGGGCTGCCTGCCCCTCAGGGGAAGCTGGGGGACCTGCCTCTCTTGCATCATGAGTGACTCTCAGGAATCCTGTTTGACCCTTGTGCCTGGGCTAGTTCTAAGATCAAGTAGGACCACGGGAAGTGAAAGAGCCCGAGACTGAGAAGGGATGGGGTGGATAGGAGTCCAGGGCTCACAGGGAAAATCTGCCAAATGAGGCTGAGTGGGTGGTGCCTGAGCGCATACCAGGAGATAGCAAAGAGGGCAGACATGTGCATCTGTCCGTTTATTCACCCGTTCCACAAGGAATGCTGTTAGGAGCTCTCTCAGGTGCTGGGTATATAGTGTGGATTAAGGAGCGGAAAGGGCTATGGCCTAAGGGTGAAACTTCAGGTCCAGATCAGGAAGAGGGTTGGGGCTTAGTGTTGGCATTAGCTTCTGCAAGGAGATGGGCAAAGGAAACACCTGGACCCCAGAAAGTCAGATAGGACAAGAGGACCTCCTGCATCCAGGTCCTAGTTGGGCACTGGCACCTGTGACCAGCTGGATGGGCACTTTCATTCCTATTTAGTCAATGAAATGGCCAGGCCTGGAGCTGTGAGCCTAGAGCACCCAGGGCTGTGGGACTCACAAAGCATGCTCAGGAAGGAATGGGATGGGAAGAAAAGGGCCGCTTCATTTCTGTTTTTCCCGAGTTTGTAAATGAGACCTATGTTCCCTGCAACAAATCAGAGAGTGTAAAGGGAGGTGAAGAAGCCATTGGTCTGCCTTCCCTTCTTGGGGCCCAGGGAAACTGGCCACAGGTGTCCCTAGCAGAAGGACCTGCCACAGTGCAGACGTGACACCTCTGACAGGACCTCCATAACTGGCTTCATCTCCAGGTCAACACCTTAGTGCCAGCTTCTTCTTCCTGGCTCTGTCACATCTCATGGAAAATATGTGCCACTCCATGGTGCCACAGAACATCAGGAAGGCCATCTTGAGAGCTCCAGGCTGCTTCTCCACAAGCTGAAGCCCTGGATGACCGATCATGTTGAAGGGTTCTTGTTGCCCCTACGGTAGAAATGCCCATTGGCTCGGCCAAAGTCCTGGGCCTCCATGGAAAGGCCAACGCCATGGTGCCCGATATGCCTTTGCTTTTTCCTCTGTCACTCTACCCCGTGCCTCTTCCCCCTGCATCCAGACACAGGGTTGGATGCCCCACTCTTGACTCTAGTCCTGGGATCCTCAAACCCCTGGTTTGGATTTCCTCCCCAAATTTCCAGTTCTAGAAGAGTCTAACATGTTAAGATTTTCTGAAGGTTATAAACCCATGGTCCCCTTCCCTGGGATAGGGATGCAGAGCTTCAGTGAACCCCAGCTGGTGGGGAAAAAAGCCTGCATGGTAAGTGGGGTGAGGGTGAACAGGGAGCCAGTTGGCCTAGAGGCAACTAATGGCTCCACTTCTCTGTGCCTCGATTTCCCCACTGTCAAAGGAGCATGACTGCAGTCCCCAACTTGCAGGCTGCCCTGGAGCACTTAAAGCCATGAGTAATGGGAGTGGATGGGTGTTGGTCACCCACCCTGGACAGGAGCAGGATAAGCCAGCCAATACCACTGTCCCAGCTTTCCTAACCTGCAGTGCCATCACCTCTTGCTAATTGAGCACCTTCTGCATTGGGCACCTGACAGGACCAAGGACAGACCAGCCAAGCAGGATAATGTCCTTGGGAATCCCAGGCTGGGGACGGCATGGTCACTGTGGCACCTGAATGGGTACCCCCAAAAGCCCAAGCCCACAGGTGACCTGGAGTTCCGCTGAGACAAAAGAAAGGCCCATCTTGGGCCCTCCCAGCTCTGGCTAAGGACACCACTTGTGCAATGGACTTGCACAAGCGAGGTGATAACAGTTCCTCAGGGATCTCCCACTGACTCAGGGCCTCATCTGGCCACTCCCAGCAGGACTGGGCCGGCACTGGTCATGGCGCTAAGGCTGCTGGTTGCTGATGGAGTACTCAGGGAAAGAGACTGCAGGCCAGGGCTCTTCTTCTCTGGGCTCAGCCCTCGACCCCCACCTGTGTGTGTGTATATGTGTGTGTGTGTGTGTGTGTGTGTGTGTGTGTATCTGTCCATCCACCCTGTTCATTCTGTATTTGTCCCTTCAGCCCTCCTGCCCTTGGGTGAAATCCATGATTCCTCTGGAAAGTGAACTGTACCCTCCCCGGGGGTCCTTCAGTTCCACCGTCCACACCCAAACCTGTCCTTTAAAGGAAAAACTGAGGCAGGAAAGTGCTCCCAGCCCCAGAAACAGAGCTCCAAGCCTGGACAAGGCTAGGGAGACACAGGATGGAGACCCATCTCCTGCACCCACTCTGGGGACAGAGCCAAGCAGCTCTCAGGTGCAACAACCAGCAGGGGTCTTACAAGAGGGCTGTGTTTAGGGCCAGAGACAATTCCACCACAAGGAAACTAGTGGTACCCTATCCTCCTGGGCTGGGAGAGCTTGAGGGGTCCCTCAGCCAGCACCTGAGCAGAGGCACTGTCAGTGAGGAGGGCAGCCCCACCATGCCTCATAGGAGGCAGCAGGCACTCCCTGGGCCACCCACATTCAGATGGCAGTATTAGGCAGAACTGTACCTCCCAAATCTTCTCTGGAGTTGTATTCTTAGGGAGCAACTAATGGTGCTTAGAGAAGTGGGGTGCTTCAGCCCAGGGAAGATGTTGAGCCCTCCCTACAGACTTCAGGGTGGGATTTCCTAGGCTGGATACTTGCACACTTGATCTGTGGGGCTTGAGCTAGGGATCTATGAAGAGACAGGGGCAGCCTGCAGGAAGTAGGCAGTGGTCTTGGACTGGGGAGCTATTCCCTGGCCCTGCCCCTGCTGGCCTTACCCTGTCCCTCTCCAAGCTATCTGACATGGGCACGCCCCTCCCCTCCCCTGCAGGATTTGCTGTGCTGTGCTGCCCAGAATAGTCTGGCTTTCATCGGTGTACAGGGTGGACCAAATATAGTAGGGCTCCTGGCTTGAACCCAGGATGGGGGTGGGGATGGAGAGGTCAAGGGGTCTGGCTGCACAAGATGGCACCCTCCCTGCATCCCACATGGCTTCTGGGGCCTCAGAGGCCTCAGGGGCCTGTTAAAGCACAGCCATCTGCTCCTAAGCCAAGAGGTGCTGTGACACCAGGTCTGCCCCTCTTCCTGGGGCAGTTGTGGTGATAAAGGCCTCCACACACGACCTCATCCCATACCTGCTACGGACAGCTGCTGGCCGCAGGAGGATGCAGAGAAATCCCTGCTGGATCCTGCCCACCCCCCAGCAGGTTCTTAATCTCCTCTCTCCCTCCAGCACACTCATCACCTACTTTGTAGATTGTGGCAAGGTCTTGCTGCACAGAAGTTTCCCATTAAAGAAGAGTTCACAGGCCGAAACAGGAAGACCCCAGTCTGCCCACCAAGACCAGGCCCCTTGGGGAGGTCCAGTCCCACAAACTAACCCTCTGACAATGATAGGTCACAGTCTGGGAGTAAGGCCTGTGGGTGGCTGGAGGGTAGGAGTCCTCCTACAGATAACCATAGGCCTTGGTGCAGTTGAGGGGTCTCAGACGGCTGACAGTAGGGGAGGGTATGCAGTGTGAGAGGGTGCAACTGTCCAAGGCTTATCCTTGAGTGTGTCTGCCTGGGAGAGCAGGGCTTAGATCAGACCCCAGATGGTGGCCAGAAGAATTGGGGCCAAGACCAGGGTCCCAGGGGCAGCAAGGCCAGCGCCATTGCAGAGGTCATACTGGCAGCAGGAAGTGGTGGATGCATGCTTGGAGTAGCCATCATACACGGTCTCGAAGCAGCTGGGCACACATGACTTGCTCACCTTCATTCTGTACGGAGTATAGTCTGCAGAGGACAGATGGGGGGGGGGGTAAGAAGGCTGCCCTCAGAGGAATGGGACCCAGACTGGCCTGGAGCCAGCATGCATGGTCATTAGGATTAGTCCCTTTTCTAAGGCTCCCAAGAAGGACCCTGGGGCAGGTGGGAGCCTCCCTCCTGTACCCACCATGTTCCCAGGGCCCAGGGGCCACCAGACTCACAGGTACGCGTGGTCATGCAGTATCTAACCATGGCCGGGCAGCGCATAGGGTTGAAGCAGTTGTCTCCATTGTAGGCGCACACGTGGCACTCCAGGGCCTGGGCTGAGGGCAGGGTGTAGGGTCACAGAAGAGGGAGAAACCCTTCCTTCAGTCCACCACCCACCCCAGGGCAGGGAAGTCAAAGGAGAGGTGGTCACTGGGAATTCTGGTCAGCCTCCCCACTTTGAGGCCTCCCCAAATTGGGCCTGTGCACCTCTCTGGCTTCTGACCACTCACCCAGAGGCAGGCCCACCAGGGCCACCAGGAACAGGGTGAGCAGGGCCGCCATGAGTGGAGGTGACAGAGCTCGTGGGTAGGTGGATCCAAATTAGTCGGGGTAGGTGCAAGGTACTGAGAGCATGGGACAGGCCCCTGCCCTCTCCAGAGCTTCTGGACTGCGGGAGGTTCAGCAGCCCTGTAGAGGGTGACAAAGACAGGTGGTCAGTGCTGGGCCTGGGCAGGCAGTGGGTCCAGCTGGGCCACGAACTCTGTGAGTGTCAGGGAAGGTGTCCTGACGATGACAGGAGGAGGAAGCAGGGGCCAGAGCACCCACAAAAGCCAAGAGGCTAGTGCAGGTTGAAGGGTGGGGGTCAGCGCTAGGGAAGAGAGATCCGGGAAGTGGGAGAGGCCTGAATGCCAGGCCCAAACCAGGCCTTTGGCGGGGGTGGGAGTGGGGGTGTCGCTCTGTGCAGCGGCTGCAGAAAGGGGCACACAGACTCTTTCTGCTGTGGGGCTGTGGGTGAGGTGGGCTAGAGAGGCCTGGGGCCCAGTCTGGGGTCTCTTCTGGCTGCTCTAGGGTGTGCCTGTTTGGAGACCCTCTCCCACCCAGAAAGACTTCCAGAACACTGCTTGGCCCCTCAGGCCTGCATCCTGCCCACTCCTGGCGGCGAGGAGACGCGTTTCGGAGGCCCCTGGGCGAGACTGGAGGACGAACTCTCTAGACTGGGCCTGGCGTTCGCAATCGAGATGCCCGCTCTTTTGGAAGGGGTTTGGGGTATTTGGGCCACGACTCCCTCGGCCCTGCCGCCATACTCGGGTCGGTCCCTGCTCGGGGGACTAAATTAGACTTGCCAGAAAACAATCGGTCTTTCATGACCCATTTCCCCAGGTGCCAACCCGGGATGCTAAGAGTCTGACTCAGGTCTGGACTGCGGCTCCAGCGCTTCCCGCCCCCTCCGACAGCCCCGCCCCAGAAACTGCGGTCGTGGCCCAGGGAGGGCTCCGGGCGTCGGTGGGGTGACCTTCACGACCACCAGCCCCCGCGCGCCTCCCAAGTACTCACCGCAGCCGTTCCCCAGGTCCACTCTCGGTCTAACTACGTCAGTGCGCGATTCCCGCAGCATCCACATGCATTGCTACAGCCAGTACTGCGGGGACCCACCGCAGGCCCCGCCCCGGGCTGGCTTTCGGTTCCACCCACAAATAAAGATCCCTGCAGGCCACGCCCCGGACCCGCCCCCGATGCGCCCCCGCCACGCTAGCTCACTGCAGATCACGCCCCGGCCTCCTCCCGATGCCGCCCCCTGCGGGACCACACGGCAGGCCCCGCCCAGCCCCACCCCCAACCTCACTTCAGCGTCCCCATTTCGGTCTCGCCCCCAGGTCGCCCCCGCCCTATGTGTTCACCGAATGCCCGTCCCTGTCCTGTCCCTGCCCCACCTGTCACAGCCCCGGTCCTCTGAGTCCGTTCCCAGTCCCCCTCTCCGTCTTTGTCCCCCGTAATGATTGCCCAGCAGTCCCTGCCTGGACCTCGAGGGTGGGTGGAGGACTGCGACAGTGGCTCAGGCGCAAACCCCCTCCTCCCCAGCATAACATCCTCGCGATCCTCAGGCGCGCGCGCACCGCCTAAACACTTGCCGACTGCAGCGGCTCGCTCTGACTTTCCCGCACCCGCTCAGACCTCCAAGCTAGTGACCGCTCTGTGCGTGCCTCGGTCCCAAGAGGAGTAGCCAGCACTGTTCCGAGGCATGCTGGGAGGAGTCCCGCGGTTCTCACACCCCTCCCCGCTTCGTGGTTCCAATTTAAAATAATTATTTTTATATAACTTTAAATATTTTGCTTTATTTTTTTTATTCTGTTTTAGGCAAAATTTAATGAGTTTTCATGGACCCTAAAATTTTCTTCTTTTCTAATGTGAGAAAGAAAACAAAACATTCCTTCAACCCTGAAAGCTTGTTTCACCCTTTAAAAAGATCAGTCGTTTTTTATGGGATCTGAGTAGTAAAATCCTTCAGTCGGGACAGACCAGATGGGTTGGTCGAGGTCTTTGTCAAATGGTCCTGTCTCCAGTGTTCCAGGAATCAGGGACAGGGCACGGGTCAGAAACAAAGTTTCCCTGAATCTTCAGCTTTGTTCCTATTAGTACCTGAGTTTGAAGAACCCATTGGAAGGCAGGCCAAGCACCAACAGGAGCTAGCACCCAATCTACAGTGCAGGCATGGGGCAGGGGACCCACTGTGTGCCTGTGGGACAAACCTCATAATCTTGGGCTCTCATTGGTGAGGTCAGCATAAGACTCCTATGTTGGGGTCAAATCAGACCTACACTAAAGGCGACACAAGCTCCAAATAACAAAGTTGAAAGCAAGCCTCCAAAACGTCTGATTGCCTCAATTAAACATAACTTAATTATATCCTGGAACAAAACTGAAAATTATTTTTAAAAATCCATTGCACAATGATATAAAATGCATCTGATGGTATGTCTGACATCACTTAAATGCCATTAGCCAAGCAAAGAAACAGAATACTCACTTGACCCAGGATAGGGGGCAGTGTACTATTAAAACCCAGATGTGACCGAGGTAAAATGCTAGTAGACCAGGACATCAAGAAAGATACTATATTTTGTGTGTTCAAGAAGGGACATAGCATGAGCATAGAAGTTTTTTTAAAGATGCAAATCGAGCTTCTAAAAATGGAAAATAAAAGAAATGAAAATATACACTGGAGAAAAAGGAATTCTGTGATTGGTGGGAATGTAAACTAATGCAACCACTATGGAAATCATTGTGGCAATTCCTCAAAAAACTAAAAATAGGAATTCCATTTGACCCAGCTATCCTTCTTCCAGATAGCTTCACCAAAGAGTGAAAATCATCATATTACAGGGATACGCGCATATCCACGTTTATAGCAACACAACTTACGATAGCTAGATCTTGGAAATAGCGTATATATATGTCCATCAATAGGTGTGATATTTATACACAATGGAGTACTATGCTGCCATAAAGAAAGATAAATGACACAATTGTAGATAAATGGATGCAACTTGAGAATATAATGTTAAGCAAAATAAATCAGGCACACAAGCTCAAACATATGGTTTCTGTTATATGAGAAACTATCTATCTAAATTATATATGTATGCATTCAAATAAATAGCAAAATAGGAGATAAATAGAAAGTGGGGAGAAGTTCAAATACTTCCCCAAATTACATATTTCATTGTTCAAAAAATATTTCAATATATACGCTAATTTGTTTCCTTTATATGAAATTTATCTTGTTGAAAAGAAAGTTTGTGTTATTATCTGTTTGTTTCTTTTTTGTAAGAATCTTTTTGGCTTATGTCTTGTACTAAGTAATTGCTTTGATGATAGTGATACTGTAGTAACTACTGTTATTATTCTATTATTTGGTTATGAAAAAAAAATTTTTTATAAAATAAAAAAGAAAACATACACTGGGTGGGATTAATAACAAAGTAGATTGCAGAAGAATGTTCTATAAATGTGAGGGAACATGTAGGACCTACTAAAAAAGAAACACAGGAGGAAAAGTTTGAAAAAAGTGAACAGAAGACCAGAAAGCTGTGGGACAACTCTGAGTTGTGAAGCTGAAGCCCCAGAGGGGAGAAGGTGAAAGTAAAGAGAAAGATATCCAGTAAAATAATGACTCAAGCCTGCTCAAATCTGATGCAAACCTCCATGGGACCTAGAAACTCAATAAACCTTGAAACATTAGGAATATGGTGGGCTAGGTTTTCCATCAAAGCTCATAGGAATTAAATCACTTAAACCCAGCAAGAAGGAGAAAAAAAATCTAAAAACAGGCATTATGTATAGAGGATAAGGATAAGAATCACCAAGATTTCTTTCTTTCTTTCTTTCTTTTTTTTTTTTTTGTTTTTTGTTTTTTTGGTTTTTCTCTGGTACCGCGAACCGAACTCACGACCTTGCGCTTGCCAGGCAGGTGCTTTTGCAAGATTTCTTTCAGAAACAATAGGGATTGACACCATGAAGCGGAGTCTAAAATATTAGCTAAGTAACTAAACCTGGGCAAACACCCAGTCAGACAAACAGAAATCATACTTGTCAATTTAGGATGATATACCTTGCAAAAATAGCTTTGAAAACTGAAGGTGAAATAAAGAAATTTTAGATATGCCAAGTCAGAAAAGCCTTTCTTCATTGGACTGGAGCTGAAAGAAAGTTAAAGGAAGCAATAGCCCAGGGAAACATGATTCTATGCAGAGCAGTCCACAGCCCCAGAAGCAAAGCACGATAGGGATTCCAAGTTTTAAATCATTTTTAGAAGGTAATTGGTTACTGGAAGCAGAGGCAAGAATAAAATATTATGGAACTTTTAGCAAGTTGAATGTATAGATGACAATAGCAGCACAGGACAGGACAGAAAAACAAGGAAGCACATTACTGTGGATTTATTATACTGGGTAGAAAATAGTGCAGCTCTGGGCTGGGGATTTAGCTCAGCCTGCCCGGCAAGCGCAAAGTCATGAGTTCAATTCCTGATACCAGAAGAAAAACAAAAAACAAACAAAAGAGAAAATGGTGCAGCTCTCCTTTTCTCTTTTCTTTTTTCTCTTTCCTTTTCTCCTCCTTTCCTGCTTCTCACCCTTTTTCCTTCCCTCTCTCCCTCCCCTCTTCCTTCCTTCCTTCTTTCTTTCCTTCCTTCTTTCTTATTTGAAGGGTCTCTTGCCCAGGTTGGCCTCTGGCTCCCTGTTGTAAGTAATGCTCCTGCCTCAGCCTCCAGAGTTGCTGGGATTACAGATGTGCACCACCATGCTAGGCTTGATAGAATATTTCTTGAGGGTAGAATATATTAAGTTGAGTATGTGTAGTAAAACACTAAAGTAATGACTAAAGAAATAAAATGAAAAAGGGGAAAAAATCAAAGAATTTTAACTAATACATCAACAAAGGAGATAAATCAGAATCATAAGTCCTTTTTATGAAAGATGAGACAAAGAAGGAGAAAAAAGGAAAACAACAGATGAGACAAACAGAACACAGTAACAAGATGGTAGATTTAAGCTCAAACACACTAATTATGACATTAAGTGGTGAAACATCTCATTTGAAACACAAACTGGATTGTATAAAAAGGAGAGCACCTAGTCAAGGAACCCAGTGGACATACAAAATCACAAAGAGGTTAAAAACAAAAAGAAAGGAAGAGACCATACTAACACCAGGGCAAATGGATGCAGGAAGGACCACATTCATGTCTGACAACATCAGTCTGAGCAAAGACAACAGCCTGGAAGAGAAAGTAGCTGCCCCTGTACCCTCTGTAGGAAGGAGGCCCATGCTGGGTGCCTGGGATACACAGGAGTCACACTTCTTCCTACTGGCGGCCAGCCAGGCCCAACAGGGCTGTGAGGACCACAGATGTTTCTGGAAGGTGGAAGGAGGGTCTGGCCTCCCTTCTCAGAAGATGCTGTCTGCTGTTTTTGCAAAATCCCCTGAAAATCTGCTCTTTAGAAAATGTGCTTGGCTGCTTCTAGCAATTCTACTAAGGCAGAGAGAAAATTGCACGAGTCCCAAGGAGCCTGCTCACAGCCCAGCACCTCACCCCTGAATGCTGGGGGCCACCTTTCACCATCACCTCCCCCTCATCGCTCACTGGGCAGGCTCTGGACTTGGATGGAGCAATGGAACCCCATCCTTCATGGGTGCCAGAAATCAGAGTTAGGGCTGCAGGCCCTGTTGGTCAAGGCTCAGCCCATATCCACACGGCCCCCATCTTTGTAGACCCCACTGAGGGCTGTGATGGGAGAAGGATCCTAGACAGGGTTGAAGTCATGTTGGGTGTAGGACCCAAGGGACTGCCAGTGGGCCACACTGAGAACTGGGGTCAGACCCAGGGGATGACAGGTCAGAGGATGGAGCCTGGGTGAGAGCTGCTTTACCCTTGGGTTTGCTCTTAAGTCTGGCAGGGTCACACGGGGAGCTGGGAACACGGAGGTCACCCCCCGGCATGTGCCCCATCCATGTTACCTGAGTGCTCCTCTCACTGGTTACCAACCTTCAAAGCCCTCCAGACCCCCAGGTGGCACCTTTGTCTGGTGCTTGGTGGACATACCTTGTGGGTCACCTCCCCATGGCCAAGTGGAGATTGGGCCAGTGTGTGGCCCTCTGCTCAGCCAGATCCTATGCTAGGTGGTTTCTCCAAAGGGCTCTTGTCCCAAAGGTGGGGAGGGGGAGCCTCCCTCTGGAAAGGTATCCTTGGGAGGCCACAGAGCCACTGTGGGGACAGCTGTGTCATGACAGGAGGGCTGGGAGAAAGTGGCTTCTGCCATGATAATGTGGGCGTGGTGCTAGCCATACCAGGTGGGTGCCAAGCACACAGGGAGGAAACTGAGGCCCTAGGAGGTTGAGCGCCTGGCTCAAGGTCACTTGGTGAGGACCAGAAGTGACCAGCACCAGAACTGCAGGTGGGACCTGCTCTTGGAGAAGGGGCCTTACATGGCAGAGGCAGTGAGGCCAACCCCTACTGCAGATCAAGCTGGGAGTTCCAAGCTGGCCCAGGGCCTCAAGGGAGGCAATGGATTGGTAGTCAGCAGCCAGGGCATCTCTGAGCCACATTCTACTTCTCACTGCCCCACCAGGGTCCTCTGTAGAGCTGAGGAGAGGGCAAGGATGCTCCTTTCAGGGCAAAGGACCCCACTGGGCCCCTCACCAGCTTCCCCTCCACTGTGCTTGGTCAGGGCTGACCACAGCAGGGTAGCCAGGCCGACTTGCCAGGGTGCAATCCTGCTGTGGGTCAGAACCCTGCAGTGACCCCCATGCATCCCAGGAGGGTCGTTGCTATTGGTGTTTGGGACTGGCCTACTCCCTAGGAGGAGGAGGAGGAGGAGGAGCAGCAGGAGGAGGAGGAGAAGGAGGAGGGCTGCCTGCTTGGGCATCTGCTGAGTACCTTCTCTCTTACTTGACATCACAGCCTCCTATTTGAAAAATTGCCCAAACCAGGCAGTGGGAAGGAACTCAGGCAGGATGCCCAGAGCCTAAGCAGTGAGCAGGAACTCAGGTAGCAGGCTGGAGGCCCGGCTTCCCTTAACCCCAGTGCTATTCTTAGGCCCTTCCCTGCCTCTGAGCCTTCTGGACAGCCCTCATGCTGAGTTATGCCCACCTAACTCTTATTGGATTGTAAGAGTAAACTGAGGCACAATCAGAACCACCAAGTCAGGTGCAACTGAAGCAATAAACAAAGTGAGGGCTGGGCTGGGGGGAGGTTTATAGGGGTGTCTGGATAGGGGAGGGGTACAGCAGGAAAGAGGAGGAAATTTTTAGTTTGGGTCTGGGGGAGTTGGGAGTCCTGGTGACATCTGTATCTTTCAGGTTCAGCTGCGTAAGGCATTTGCTTGTTCATCTCCTTTTGCAAGCTCTGGCTCCTGTTATCGCTGTGTCTCTGAAGCTGTGGTCAGCGGCTCTGGCTCCTGTTATCGCTGTGGTCAGCAAACTGTGGTTCTGGTTATCACTGTCTCTGCAGCTGTGGTCAGCAGCTCTGTTCCAGGAGTTTTTTCTTCTCTGTCCAGGTGGGGGTCTGACATGGGTGAGTTCTGGCTGAGGGGCTGCTGGGTTTCCCAGGATGTCAGCCAGGGCAGGGGGACTTGCCTTGGGCCAGGGCTATGGCAATCAGCGCCTGCATAACTCCAAGGCTGGGAGCTCTCTGGAATCTGTTGGACCTATATCTCTTGGCCTGGACCCCACGTGCTGTGTGTGGGCCAGGCCCACGCCGCATCTGTTTAGACTTCCCCGGGAGCATCCTGCACCACCAGGTGGTACTGGCAGAGTCCTGCCACCTGAGGGTATGGGCTGAGGGAGGGGACTTCCATCTGCCAGGGTGGGGATGTTGCATCCTGTCAAGACTGGCCCAGTGCTACTCTGTCAAGACTGATAAGTGCTGGAGACTAGGGCTACGTCCTCCAATTCCTATGTTCCACAACCACACTGGTTTTAAATCATTTATTTATATGCAGAGGTTTGAGTAGAAAAGTAAGTAACAAAAGTAGAAAATTCAGGAGGGGGATCGGACGTCTTTCCTTTGTCTTCCATACTGCCTGGCTGGCCACTTCCTCTTGTCCTGCACACACCAGGACTGGGCCCCAGCCTGCAGGGAGTCCCTGACTTCAGGAATCTGGCATCCCCATGTGGCCAGAGAGAGGGATTGCAGTAACTCCAGAAATGGAAAGGGGTTACAGACTGGGAGCCAGGAGAAGGGCAAGGAGCCCTAAGGCCAGCACCACGCCTGAGGTGGCGCTGCTGAGCAGGGCAGTGGCAGGTGCAGCACTGGACAGATTCTCGTTGCACAGGTCTTCCTGGCAGCAGTGTGTGGACCCGGTACCGCTGCTGATCTGGCCCTGCTGGCTATAGGTAGGTGTGCACGAACTCTCACAGCTCTTCGTCACCAGGTTCCCTGCCAGAGATTCCACTGTATGTGGAGGGTTGGGGGGGTGTCAGGCCTGGTCCACAATGCACCCCAGCTTGCACCCATGCAGCACCAGTCCTCCCACTGGCCCCTCTGGGGAAGTCTTCATTATGATGAAACCATCACTGGGATCACACCTATCCATTTGCCCAGGAATGGTCCTCCCAGCCCCTAGGGCACCACCACTCACCTGAAGTCATGGTCTTGCAGTAGCGAGAGCCGATAGGGCACTCCTGGGAATTCTTGCAGTTGCTGGTACTGCTGCTGCACACGTGACAGCGGAGTGTGTAGGCTGGTGCGGGGGGGGGTAGGAATCTCAGCCAGGCTTGTGTCCTCTGCCCACTGGGACCCATCCAACACAGAGCTTCTGCCACCCTTGTGCAGGCAGCCCCCTCCCCGCTCCTGGAAACCACAAGGCCCATTTCCTGTGCACAGCTCAGGAGAGATGTGTTGGGTACATGGAGCCCCTGGAGGACCGTGTCTGGGCAAGGCAGGGGGTGGGTGGAGTTTGCTGGAGACCTTTCTTCTAGGACCTCAGAAAGCCCTGGCTCTAGCAGTTGTGGGAGGAGGCTACTGTCCCCACCAGCCACACCCATGACTACCAGGGAGGGACTCAGGGAGTTATCAGGGAGGGAAGGGGCCCAGGCAGGGGCTCACTGCAAGCACTGGATGGCTCTAGGGAGGCATGTCATGCTGTGTCCCAGCTCTACCCCATCGGTGTCTGTGATTCTATAATTAATTCTTAGATTCTCTGATTCCGAAATATTTTAAATCTGTGATTGGCAGAGACACAGATGTAGGTTCATTTTCTTTTAAAAATCCTGAAAGTCAAGCATTTCGTATACCAAGAGTCTCTGAGGCTGAATTCCAGGCTTCTAGCATTTGGTGACCACCTGTCAAGCACAGGCCAAAAGCTGCCCACCCTTCCAGGCCCCAGGCCCATCCTCTTACCTGGGCTCAGGGCCACAGTCAGGGTGACAAGGAGCAGCAGGACTGTCTTCATCCTTAGTGTCATCAGGGAGCAATGGGGGCCTCTCCTCTCCACAGGCCTTATAGCTGGGATGGGCTCTAGCTGGTGAGGGTGGAAGCCACCCAGCCAGTGACACAACAGGGCCTGCCTCATTTTGCATGGCACACACCCACCAGCCCAGCCCATTCTGGCCCTCTCCAGTTCTAGGGACTGCTGCCCCTAGTCACTTCCTGGGCAAGGTGTGTCCTCTCCTCTGGGGCCCAGCCAGGGCAGGCTATGGATGGAGGCTCCTAGCTAAGCAGTTCTTGGCTGATGCTGTGGCTCCCTCTCTTCCATCTTGTCTCTGCTGCTCTGGGTCTCCGTCAGTTCTCTTGCCGTCTGTCTGTGCCTGTCTCTGACTTTCCACACCCCGTCTTGTGCTTTTGTCCTGTGCCCTCTCCCTTGTGGAATTCCCTCCAGTCTCAGCCCATGCTGGGTGCCCTAGAGGGCCCCAGGAACCAGGATTAAGGAACCCCTGGGGTAGGTATAGGTGAGGGTCTGCAGCAGGCAGAGAAGAGGCAAAGGCAGGGCAGCGGGAATCAGAGTTCATGTGAGGTGGAGGCCAGGTGAAGGTGTGATCTCCAGGCTATGGGCACTGGCCACGGCAGGGGCTGGTGGGAGAGGGGCAGGGCTGTGGAGGCCAAGACTGGGTTCCTCCTTGTCAGGGAGGCAGAAGCACCCATCATCTCATCATCCCCAGCCTTCCTCCCTCCTGCCCCTGGGGATCCAGGACCCCTTCCCTTGAGCAGCTCCCTCTCCAGTGCTCTCAGGCCCACCCTTCCCCAGAAGCAGTATCCTAACCCTTAGTCATCCTGCTTCATAAGGCCCCTTTATCCCTGTTGTGGTTCCCCAAAGCTGAGGGCTCCTCAGAGCTGGGCTCCAACACCTAAGATCCTGGGGCATATCTTGGGTCTGATCTCTGTGGAGGAGGCAGAGCCTCATCTTCATGCCCTTTGCGCTCAGAGGAGGTACTCATTTCCCCTGTGACTTAGGTCTCTGAGCACCCGCCTGAGATAGGAGATAAGGTGTGGCAAAACTGGCTGGAAAATAAGTGAGACTAGTCAGTTAGAAGACCCAGAACAAAAACAAAAACCAAACAAACACACAAAAGCCCCAGAACAGTGCCAAATGATTCCCAGGGTCTGATCTGTAAATCTTTGGTGGGTTCTCACAAGACGTGGACAGCATATAATGACACAGATGCCACGAGAGCCCACTATTGTGACGATTTGTGGGAGCCCACCCTCTGTCTTCTTGACCAGGGTGTACTTTTATTTTTGCTTTTCTCCTCTTTTGTTCAGCCCAGGTTCACTCTGCAGAGCCAGCTTCCTCCTTATCCCTTCACCCCTCACTTTAAAAATAAACTTTTGGCAGCGTTTTTTGGCTTCTGGCGTCTCATCTAATTCTTTGCTCAAGACAAGAAGGACCTGGAATGAATTTAACTAGCTAGTTATTT